ACTGCTAAATTAGGGACGGCTAGCGCAGATAGCCTTCGTGTAGCTTTGTGCGAAATTCAAAAACAAACAAACTTTATATTTTGGTTACTTGTAAAGCTTAGATATTGATGAAACAACTATGTTTTGTGTAGTTGGCTAATGTTTTAATAGTAGAAAGTAGAAAATGATATTCAACTACAATGTACATATACTTGCTTTTAAAAGCAAAAAATATTAAAAAGAAACATTATTGAAATAAAATAAAGTTATAAATGAAGAACTTAATCAAAAAGTTGTCTATAGAAAATTGAGATCTTCTGTATGGACCTTAGTAAGTTGTTGCAATTCTGGAAAATAATGAATAAGTAACAATTAATTTATATCTAGTTTCATTGCATGAAATAGATCTTTGTGTTACTTTAATTTCACTAAAAATATTTTCTAATGGTGTAACCATTGCTAGTTTTTCATTGCTCATGAAATAGTGAAAAACGTTGTTATAATGATTGTTTACACCACAAATTTTGATGAAAGAAATTAATATTTATATAATATAGTAATAAAATTACCTTAGATTCTGTCTGTATGTGTGTCATTTCAACCTTCAGTATTTATGATAACAGTTGCACCCAGTTTATAAAACCTCTTTGATAACATAATAGCTTATGTAAACCTAATCTATAGGAAAACATCTAGGGTAATACATATCAGAACAATTATTATGAAAGAACAATCAAATAAATTTACAAAATCTTGTAAAATTCATCTTATAAGGATTTAATGATTTTAATTTCTGTCTCATATATTTGCTTCCCAGTGGCTCGGCTATAAGCTTGAAGGCATATAACACTAAAAATAAAGGTTTGGTGCCTTGGCTCTCTCTTTGGCTCTGAATTAAGTATATGGGCTTATACTGCTAAAAATTGGGTTTTGATACCTGCAGTGGGCAGAGCACAGATAACCCTATGCATAGCTTTGTTCTCAACAACAAACAAATGCATTTTGGGGGTTCTAGAGGTAATACAAATGCAATGTGCAAGCTGTATGATGGAAAAAAAAGTATTTTAATTCTTCATATGGACATCACTTGCACGCTTACTTGCTGAGTCAAACTGACTTGTCAACTCACAGAAATATAATGTGTTCAGATACCTTTGTAACACATCTGACTTTCACATTTATTAAGAGCTTGCTACTTTTTGTGTTGAATTATATTTAACATTCTTTCTCTAATAAAGGGCCAGTCAAATGATTAAAATAATGGACTGACCCCTGAACACTCATTTAAGGAAAAATGAGAAAATGCCACATTAGTATATTCTAACCCCATCACAAATAATAGCTTCATGAACATTAAATTTTTATCTTCCAAACTGTATACCAGTGAGGTCAGCAGTAAGTTTATTGACATACAATGCTAAAAGGCAGAATTTGATTTCCATTGGTAGACAGAGCATAGATAGCCCATTGTGTAGCTTTGTTCTATAACAAGCAAACAAACAATCATCCAAAACTCAAATCCACCCCCCACCCCCCAAAAGGAATAATGTATCTTCTTTTATAGAACTTATGCATAGAAGTCATATATGAAGGTGGCAATTGATACTAAAACTTTATTTTGAAAAATCAAACTTTATTGTAATGAAATCAAATTCTAAGCTTGTGTTATGTATTGCACTGTGGTTTTTAGAAATGGGTATTTTTCCTTTATTTATGCTTACATTGTGCTATTTTTAATTTAAAAAGTGTTTACGAATATCTGCAGTATGTGCAATAATCAATATGAATAAATAACTGTAAATCCTTTAGTTACATGGACACTGTTTATATTTTACAAGAAGCAAGAACACTTAACCTAGGACAAAACTTATTAACTCTGGTTTAAGAACAGAGTCCTAATAATCAGTTCTGACTTTAAGAATCAAGAAGCTAACTTTACATGCAATTTTAGCTAAAATGAAAGCTAGCTAACATAACACTAATGATGTTTAAATAAAAATATTTGGATTTTTGAACAAAGTTTAAATTAACTGTTTGCACAATGCAGAAGATGATTTCTCAAATCTGGGGATTAGAGAAGATTCAGGGTTTTAGCTCTGAAGAAACTCAACTGTTCTTACTGAAAGCTAGATTGAAAATATAAAGAATTACATTAAACTTATGTAGATTGGCATTGTAGACTTCACTTTTCATTATTTATGCTGATCTCCCTGGCCAGTTAAAGTTAGGAACAATACTGTATCCACAGACTAATTGTATACTTCACCAATAGTATCAGTCATTCATTTAAAGCTCAATACCTAGAATGTGTTTATAAACAAATTCTAACTCAAAGAGTATCAGAATTCCTTTAAGCCTAATATGCAGTTAATAATTTTCATTTTGTGCTACTTTCTTGCATTTACTGCCCATATAGTTAATTTTAAATAAAAATAATAATATTAAATGTATTAAAACAGTAAAACTGATAGTAGTAGTGACCTAGCTGCCAATTTTTCATAAACATTAAAATTCCATTTATTTAAACTTTAAACATGTATCTCATTCAGCTGTTTCTACATTACATAGGAATACTATTTTAATAAATTTCTATTGTCAACAATTAAGCCAAAATTATACGCATTCAGTTTGATATATTACACATGCATGGCTTTAAAGTTTTAAGAGTTTGAGGTTTAGTGTAAGATTAATATTTCAACAACATACCATTAGATTATCAAAAAAAGTGTGCTGTTCTCTTATAAATAAACTGGCAAAAAAGAAGAAAGATTTTGATGCTTTTGTTATAGAGATTTCTATACATTAAAGTATTTTTTATAGATTCATCTGTTAAATGATAGTACTCGTGGAGCAACTATAGAAGCTGTTGTGAGTCGTATGAAGACTGTTCAATCTTCTATTTGTCGTCAGTTAGAAAACTCCATAACATCAGCTGCTGGGTTGCGATTTTTGGCAGTATCTGCAACAGTTCCAAATGCAGAAGATGTAAGTATGCATATATTAGATTACTTTATAGTAGGTCATATTTAGGTTTTTAGTAAAAAATTCCAGTGTTTGCGTGTTTTTTTATTATTATTGTTTTTTGTTAACTAGTAAAAGGCTCCCGTATGCTTATAATAAACATTATTTCAGGAAAATCTTACAATATTTTATTAAATTTCTATTCAAATGAATTTGTTTGAATTTCTCCTTCCATTATAAAATAGAAACAATTATCTGGTTAAAATGGTAGAAATCCAGTCATTTGACTATAGGTTCAACCCCATTTTTGCCACTGGAAAAGCATCTCCTTTATTAACTTTGTGTTAAACTGATAATAACAGTATACATTATGTTAAATTTTTGTATTGAATTATTTGATGACCTTCCAAAATGTTGTCTAAAGGGAATATCTAAAAACTTCAGTGGTTAAAATTTCTTTATAAAATTTTCACTATTATATGACCCTTTACCTTATTATTTGATTTCAGTTAGTTTGTTTTTATTTTGCCCTTATGATGATTAGGTGGTAGAATGGCTTGGATCATCTGATGTTCCTGGTGTGAGCTACAAGTATGTTTATGATACTCTTCTTTTCTTACTCAGAACAAAAATAATAATTAAATATACTCTGTAATATGTAAAGAAAAGAGTTTGGTGGTTATATACTTAATAATTATCCAAACAAAATAATCACAGAACACATAAAAACCTAAATAATATTAAATGAGTCAAAATACTTAATATAATATCAGATTATAGTTTTTATGAATTCTGAAATTTTGTATTTCTTGTGCTAAAAGCTAGAACTAGTTAGTAGAAAGAACAATTCAGAAACACTCTTATGGAGCCTTAGTTTGTATTGCCATGATGACAAGTTGTTTATGTGAAACGTATAAACATTACAGTAGCTAGCCCATTTTATCTGCCATAGAGTTTGGCTATATAAGCAGTAATTACATCAATTTGTGTCATGTAAACTAATTGATTATTCAAAATTAGTTTCCTATTATTTGAACAATTAATGAATCGAAATTCCAATTATATCGACTCTCACAAAAATAATCAACTAATCGAAATTTGTGTTTCAGATTACTATGGTTTACACTTATTTGAACAGTGAATTTATTGAAATTATTATTATGTCAATTTTTGTGAAAATAATCAACTAACTAATTTATGAAATAGTAGTTTCTGATTATCGTTATTTTTTGATAATTCAACTATCCGAATAATTGAAATATTGCTATTATGTTTGTTGTTAAGCTCAAAGCTACATAATATCATATCATATCATTGCTTTGCCCAATTTTTTCTTTGCTTCTAATTTGTTTAGTTGTGGTGATTTGGGATAGTTGTGGGGGTTCCATGTATTATATTCCTGTTGTTCCCTACTTCTTAGCCCGAACCCTAACTCATTTTGGTTACCATTCCTAGACCACTTATTTTCTGCAACATTAAGCTTTGCCCCTCCCCTCTATCCGATTCATATTTCCTCAATTTTAGTGATTCTGCATCCCATTTTGTGATTTTTGTGTTCAAATTGCTCTTGCTTGTTGGGATGGGTGTGGGGTGGACTATTGGCATTGGTTTCACTCTCCAGTATACAATAATCCTGTCTTTACCTGGTAATTTTCACCATACTTCTTTACCTCTCCTCTCTACACTTCAAGTCTGGGGCACTCCACCATAACCCAGAGAATTTTGCAGGTGATTCTCGTTCCTTTCAATTCTCCATTATGGCCTTTCCCTTTTACCATTTCCTGCTCAATCGCCTCTTTGTTACTTGGGGTTGTTGGGTAGGGATATTCTCCTATGCCAAGTTTAACTTCTTTCTTTCCTTTGTTGAGCCCTTCACCTAATCCCTTTCTTTGCCCTAAAGTTTGGAAGTATTCCTGATTTGACTGAATCAAGGGCTGAGGTTGTCTGTCACCATTCCCCACTTTCCAATATTGTTTCTATGTTGTCCCCAACCTTATTCTCCACCATTGTACCTCTTCTTTGTCCCTAGTTCCCCATCTTTGGATTTCTCTTCTACCTGGCATTGAGCTTGTTGTGATGTTTCCACTGTGTCAGGTCCTGTGGGTTGCTAGCTGGCTATAATGGTTTGAGCTCCTGTAATCACAATTTTCTGCCCACACAGGTGTTTTTCTGTTTTTTACTCACATACTTTCTCCACAATCCCCTTTTCCTCTTTCTTTCAGCTTTCATCTTGTTTCCCTTTCCCCTTCTGCTACCATCTTTTGTCCAAGGTCTCTTCAAAGCTATGTTTGTCACCACTTCCAACAATTCTTCACTCCCACTCAATATCTTGTTAATGGGGGAGGGAGTATTTTTTTAACTCATTCTCTGCTGGGATCAGCCTTTTCTCATCTATCTGTGAGCTATGGACCATACTGTCACTAGGATTTGTGCCTATCCTATTCATTCTGCATGTGAGGTTTAGTGCTTGATGACCGTGACTTTATGAGGACTGCTTATCCCTTTAGGTCACACACACATATGCACCTCCTCTGTTGGTCCTTGCATGACCAGAGGAACACCTCATGGGATTCTTTAACCTCAATGGTTCTTCTGTCCTTTTTCCATTCTAGTGTTTGTATGGTTGCTGGACTGATCCAGTATCACCATCCATGTTCCATTACCTCCACCCAAACCAGACTTACGCCTTTTCACCTATGCTTCCTCCTCTTGTTGGGGAACATCCCAGAATGTCAATTTTACATCTGGCACATGGAACAGTCCTCTCTCCATATGCACACTCTCTCAAACTTCTGCTAGACTGTTGGCAATGATACCATTATTACCACTCCTGGTGGATCATTTCATTCTGTTCCATTCTGACAACTCCTTAGTTATTCATAAATTAGCTGCCATGGAAGAATCCAATTTAGAAACTATTGCTTTCACACCTTGGACCTTCCTTCTTGGGCCACTTCTCAATGGGTTGGTTTCTTTGCCTGCTATGTATCAGATTCTATGAACTGGGTTGTGGACCACCTCTCTTGGCTGGACTGAGTTTTGCCTTCAGAAGGTCTTTTCTACCCCAGTTTCCATTGGGGGTGCTCTCTTGGGGACTCCACTCATCGTTGCCTAGCCAACCCTCTCACTTTATGCTTCCTCTCTTCTGATCATCTGTTGTCCATCCCTCAGCCCTGACTGTTGCTTCCTTCTGCATGGTCTGATTTTTTACTTGTAAAGATGCCCACCCACCTTTCCAGCCTCTATCATTGGTCCTAGCCTTGACTATAGACACTCTTTGTCATTTCTTCTGGCTGGCTTAACCTTGGTTTCCTCTTCTATGCCACCTTATAACCTAATCTCTTTACCCCTATCAGCTATACACACTATTGCTTCAACATCTCTCTTCTCTTTTCCATCTCAGGATCTTGTTCTTCCTCCATCATGTTTCAACTAGTCCAATCCTTTGCCTCTTGATCTGGACTTTCCTATATGGTAATCCTTTCCCATTCTGGGTATCATTCTATCTGCTCTTCTATCTGCATGGGGGCATTGCTTTTGATATTAGTCCATCTGTCATCACTTTGCTCTTAATTATTCTACTGTCAGACATCAGGCATCTCCCTTTCATTTACCAGGTTGTTCTACAGGATTCAGCTCTCTAAATATTGCTGGTTATTGGGTGGCCTTGCCTTCAACTTTTTTTACCTTCTAAATACTACAAGGTGTTTCCTCCCCTGTTTCTTCCACCTTTTTCCAGTCCTTCCTTATCCATAGGCACACTCTTCCTGTTCCTATGCCCAATCAGGATCTGTGTCATTCTGCATGCTCTTACCCATGCCCATTCGAGTCATTGGCAACCTGCAACTTCTATTGCCTTCATTTCAGACATATTCCTCTTACTTCTCTTTGTGTTTGCCATCGTTCAGATCTTTATGATGGTAACATATCTTTTACCCTTTCCATCATCCTCATATTCTTATTTTTTCAACAAACCATTCCTTTCTCCCTCTATCTTCAGCTGCTCAGGGAAGAGATTTCTACCCTTCTCCTTGTATTTCACTCTTCTATGATTGTTCAGACCCAGACAGACTTTTATGCCCTGTTCATTGCTACTTAGCTTATACCCCACACTTTCAGGGTTTCTGTCTTCTACTCTACATTCCCTAGAATTCCTCTTCCTCTAGGGACAACTTTCCTTCTACCTTTATTTGTAGTGTCTGCCAAATTCTTTGTTTAGTCTTCTCATTAGGATTGTTGCTCATAGATAGTCTGCATTTTGTCCTATAAGATTTGTCACCTCTCTCATTTTCTTGCTGCTTATTTCTGATGGTTGCTGGATGAAATCACTCAAGTTGGCACGTGAACTACCTCACATATCTTTATTGCCCACTCTCTTTACCTTCTGGCTATTTCATCTCCATTTGCTGTCCTACAGTATACATACCATTTTTATACAGGTGAGTACATTCCCCTTTAGTTTATAGCATTTGGTTACTGGATCCCACCACATGGCTGATGGTGCCTCCCAGAGTAAACTTATTTCCCAAAATTCTGCATTGAGCCAGGATAACAAAAAGTTCTCATACCATCTGCCCTGGCACCATATATACCCATTGTTGAGATGGAATGTTCTGCAAATCCACTTGAGGTATCCTCATGGCATCCTATGATATTGGACTACTGTCCAATCCAGATCATACTTATTCCATGGAATATTATGGAAAAAGCTAGCACCAGTGGGTGCTATGCCTGCTTCCCTGGCTCATGCTTGCTGGCTTTTCAAAATTAACTGGTTTATGCAGTCACCCTTAACACTGTCTCCAGTAAAAGACCATTTCAGCTGAAACAGGACTGATGGGGATCTGGGCATTTTCTCAGGATCTCCCCACTGTTAAATCCTCTCCCTCTTCTTTTTTTTGAGTGGAACAAGGGAGACGTTTAGCACTTAAAAGTTCCTGGCTGCTGGGGTGGTGAACCATGGAGAACTCTCACTGATTGGGACCTAACAACTAGGGCTAAAACAAGGGGTACCAATCAGTGGGAAGCGGGACAGTGGTAACACTGTCAGTGTAGCACAGGTCGCCCCTCATATAATTATACCAATAACATGCCAGAAGCACTTCATACTACACTATGCTTTCCTCCTGCAGTCAGCATTTGTTCAGTAGAGTTGAGGCAAGCAATCATAAAACTGTGCCCTCTTCTTGCAGATTGCAACTGTCCAGTACAGTTGAGGCAAGCACATTCAAAGATATGTGCCCTCCTTCTGCAGGCTGCAACTCTCCAGACAAGTTGAGGTGAGCATGCACAATTATACCATGCCCTCCTCCTGCAATCTTGTTTGTTCAGTATAGTCGAAGTTAGCATATAGTGAATGATACATATTACATTATTAATTACATGAATTTCTGTACCCTCCTCCCACAACTGGTTTCAGTCCAAGAGTTTGACAATGGAGTTGAGGTGAGCGCATACCACTATTACACACTATGGCATATATTCTGTGCACTTCTCCCATGCTACACACATTGGCTTTCCAACCTCTTGTGTGGAAGTACTAGTATGGTCATGTTCCTATTCTACCCATACCCAGGCTCCTTTGCCGCTTCCTTCCATCTACTCTGGATGAAGAGTGTATACCCTGGAAGAGATGCAGTTTCTCACGACTGTGTCCTTATGGAGCCCCTGCCATTGAGTGTCACATGCCATCACTATGGATTTACTTTGAGCATTTTCTGAAGGGAGCTCATTTATGTCAGTTTTACACTAGTCCCTCCACCACATCAGTGTGAGATTCTAGCTTTCATAATTAACATTTTCCTTACCTGATAATGTATTTCCAATAGACAATCTCTTCTGCACACACTTCCTACCCTGCTTCTGACTTCTGGTGCACTTTAGATATACCTGTCTCATCAAGAATGAAAATTCATGAGTTCAAAAGCATAGAGGGAGTTAGTGAGCAGGGCGGTTGTTTCGACCTCTTATTGGTGGAGGGCTTTTGCTGCATAATAAAATCATTATGCAGTAGTGAAATTCATGACAAAACTTGTGAGATTAGGTGGGAGTTGCCTAAAGGCTAGTGGTACGGGGAAGACAGCTTTCTGTGTGAGAGGTGAGTACCTATTGGAAATACATTCTTAGGTAAGGAAAAGGTTAACCTTAGAATTGTAAGACTTGTTGAGATGTAGATTGCAGCTTTTAGATTTCATTGTTTTTAATTTTACATTTCACTTTCAATTTAACATTAAGAAGTTTTTGATTTAAATTTTAGGTTTCTCTTTTGTTCTTCTTTTAACTTATGGAGGAGGGGTTCACACTGTTATGGTAAGAAAGAAACATAAAAGACTTCTTTTCACACCATGGATCTCTATTACGAGTTTGATACACTGATAACAAACATTTGCCCTTGTCTTATTTGTTCATCTTTGACTATGTTTTGTAATAAAGATTGTTGTTTGTAATATTTTGTATCTGGACTTAAGATAAGATCTGGAGATAAGTAAACCCATACTTTGCAACTTAGTATTTGTTGGACCTCCTGTTTAGTGGCCTTTACTTTTGTACTCTGAGAGAAATCCATGTAATGGAAAATATCACAGTGTATGCCACAAAATTATGAATTGTATTATAGTCTAATCTTATAATTTAAATTAGAGTTATATATTTTTTTAACTGTGCTTTAGTTTCTTTGAGATACTTTTTCACTGTTGTCACATTTAATTCTTAAACATTTGTCCAAGTATACTATATAATGTTCTGACTATGTTTAAATTCTCAGTTCTAGTTACTGAAGTTTTAATAGTATCACATGCTCATCATATGTATGTAAAATCATCATAAAAAATTTATATCTATAAATTGTTATGATAATTGCAAGAAAATTCCACTTTAAGTATAATGTGAGCTTACATATCTCATAAAAGCCGAGATACCTAATTGTTAAAAATAAATGTTTCATGCTAAATTTGTATATTTTAGGATGAGTGATGATCTTAGACCTGTGAAGCTTCGGAAAGTTGTTCTTGGATATCCTTTCAAAGAGGGCTGGTCTGAATTTAAGTTTGACATCTCACTAAGCTATAAACTTAATTATGTTCTACACACCTACTCAGAGAGAAAACCTACGCTTGTGGTATGCAAATTATACTTATGAAAATTAGGTGATTACTTTAATCGTACATTAGTGATACTTATGACTTTTTCCCACAGTTTGTTAATACGTCTTTCTTTCTCAACATACAGTCAAGTGTGCCAGTTTAACTATCCTTTAATCTAATATTTTGAAAACCTGATGTTTTAAAAGAGGCATAGAAAATAATCTTTTAAGTTAATAATTTTTCCTTGTTTCATCTTGTATTTTTGCAGTTAAGTGTTTATTTTATTTGACTGACAGTATTGTGTAAATGCCAACTTAACTTTGAACTCTAATAATGTGATCCAATATAAGCAATTAAAAAGAGAGGGGCTGCACATGAGTTCAGATCTCATGAGTGAGTTCCTTTTTTGTTTTTTCTAACAACTTTCCCTAATACACAATATACATTGAATAACACTATCATAAAAGTAAGATAATCTCCTTGATTTGACAATAACCTATGTTTCTTCCTAACTCTTTCCTGCAGTATATAATTCTAGCTATTTTTATCCAATTTACACAAGTACGTTCACTCGGCATTTGGCTATTAGTCATATATCTTACAGTGTAATAATTGTATTTAATATAAAAGTTAATTTATTTTAATAATAGTATATTTTTATGATTGATCAATTCTCAGTATCCCTTTAAAATAATATACATACATATATATATCAATTCACCCCAAGACTCTCCTGAGGCTTGACTTTTATTTTCTGAACAGCTATTAACTATTGTAAACAAGCAAAAGTACCTATCCCCAGTGACAGAAAAAGCTTAAGTTAAGCTGTCAATTTAAATTATTTCACAGACTTTAAAAAGGTTAATTATGTTCCATTCATGGTTTCACTCAGAGCCAAAGCTCTGAGCTACTTATACTACCCACTGTGATATGCAGTACCTTTAAGTATGAGTGTGTTGTAACAGTAACAGTCAATCCCTTAACATGAATAGTAGGTGGTAGGGGGATGGTGACTAGCTGCCTTCCTTTTGGTCAGTAGTATGAAATTAAGGACAATGGCAGATAGCCTTAGTAACTTTGCCATAAATACAAATACAAAACTGCATATTTTTAAAGGGATGTATTTAATTTCATAGAGTTTTAGATGTTTCAGTTTTTAAAGAAAAGGTGTTTTGTCCTTTGATTGTTAAACTCCATCTGAATGAATTGTTTTTATTAGATTTGTTTTTCCATGCTGAGTCATTTTTTAATTCAGTGATTATTATGCAAATTTTCTTACTGTCATTTTTTTTGTACAGGAAATTATTTAACTGTGAATATCCAATAAGAGAATTAGCTAGCTATTACAATAACACATGAAGTAACTTGTTGACATGGTTCAATAAATGTACCTTACCAAAGAAGAAGCTTGTATTTTTATAATACTAATCATGTTTAACGTGCTTTATTATTTTTTCTCTATGCTAAATTTTTCTTTATTTAATTGATAGTGTTAAGTGTTTTGAGTTACAGTTTAATGATATCCATCATGATCCAAAAATGTTCAGTGCGAAAAAAAAATTGTTTTTTTTAATACAAACTGGTCATATGTACTCAAGAAACTGTAGAAAACATTGTCTAACAGTACATCAGGAAAATTGCTATTTTGGAAGATGCAGATTTATACCATGTTTTTACGAAGCTATGGTTCAGATAGAACAGTACTAGATGTGGCAACATGGACAGTAACAGAGATGATGCATCAAAATCATTTTAATATAACATACTCAACTGCCATTATATTTTTATATGTATGTATGTATAAACTTTAGGAGAAAACTAACAAACTTCTAAGAACATGCTATGATTAGAAATGCATTGTATTATTTCTTTACATTGAAATATTTAATTTCATAATTTAATTATTTTGCTATTTCTTAAGTTTGGTTACCTAGCTTTTTTAATGGTTATTTCACATTGTTTATCCTAGAACAAGACAATCCTAACATCAAATTAGTTATTCTATAAGAAGCTTAAAGTTATTATCTAACTCTAGATTATTTTTTAAGTTTTGTTCCACAAGAAAAGGAGTCATGCAAACTGCAAACATCCTCAGCAAGGAAACAAAGTTTGTATATAACTCAGATCATAAGCAACTGTTAGTAAAAACAGCCAACATGCTTAGAGATGGTAAACTTAGAGGTGAGATTTTTATATATTTCTTTTTAGTTTTATGTAGCGTATATATATATATATAATAATTTTTTATTATGTAATGAAACTTCTTTTTAGAGTTTTAGGCACTAAATGGTTGTAAATGGTGCATGTAAGTAATGCAAAATATTGTATATTATTTAGTTCTTTAATGTTTCAATGCTTGTAGTTACCAATGCTGCTTTTTAGTTACATATAGGTGATGTTATGACTTACATTCAGCTCCCTTCTTCTAGAAGGGTATTATAAAGTTATTAATGTTGTTAACAAGAGACATTTCTTTGGTATCCAAATTTTCTTGTTGCCAAGTGTTCTGTGTAGTTAGATGTATATTATTTTTTCTGTTTTTTCTTCTCTTTTGAATATCATTTTGCCATATAAGAACCTTTGATATTCTTATATAATCATAATTAATACTCCCATGGTTTTTCTGTATAAACATTATCTAAAAGATGAATTACTTTTTCCTGGTTATTAGTTTTTTATTTCTAAATCTTACAATGTATTAGCTTTTTAACTAAAACAAACAACATAACAAAAAATAATTGAGCTCATGAGAAGAAGGAGAAAAAAAAAGAGAGAGACAATCATATGAAATGTATTAGCTACCATTTTCTGTTTTATGGCAAGTTGTACATAATGTATAATACAAGTACTACAAAATATAAACTAGCTACTATTAACTAGAACCAGTATACCAGTGTTACTTAGCTCATCTATAACGTTTAAATTAACTAAAATAAGTATATCAGCCCCAGGTCATCTAATGGGTCAATGGTAAGTTTACAGACTTACAGTACTAAATTCCAGGGTTTGGTTTCCTGTGGTGGACAGAGTGCAGAAACCTCAATGTGTGAGTTTGCTTTAAGAAATCAGCATCAGTTATGGCTAATTACTCTCAAACATAAATGATTACAAAAAATCTCATAAAGTATCAAGACATACTGTTACAATCTTGTTGTGCCATATAATATTCAGTATGCTGAAGTTTATAAGGTGCATTACAATGGGCTTTCATTTGCTTTATGGAGATAAATACCTTTAAACACTGAAATCAAAGCCAATAACATATTTCAATAAGAGAAGAATCACTGAATATGAAATAAATGTTTAAAGATTATCCATGTGAAGCTGAAAGATACTGCACATTGTGTAACTCAAATGTTTTTAAGTTGATTTCTGACTTGTGGTTACTCTAATTTTAGAAAAAATTCATAATACACATATGTGTGGCTTTGAGATTTTATAGTATTTAAAAGTACAAAAGGTTATTAATTTAACATTTTTATTTTGTAAGTCCTACTAGGAAATGATTCACTATCATTCCTAAGATTTTGTAACTCATAATTAAACAATATTCATTCTGACTATTAATTAAATCTTAAGGAGCTTGATATTATATTATAACTTCCAACAATTAATCCTCTAAAACCAAAACCAAAAATAACCTTAAATATGAGTAACAGGCAAAGGACAAAAAGCCTTCAAGATCACTTTGCCATAGGTCATCAGTTGAGTACCTTCACTGCTGACAGTGTTTTTAGCCCTCTATACAACATCTTACAGTAGATTAAAAATTTATAATTAATGGTCTAGAAGTGGTGCACACTGAGTTGAGATATAATAACTAAGCTCACATCAAGCTTAATTAGCAAGAACAACATTGGTTATCTTTCAAAGATGATATCATAAGAACATGAATAAAATGTGTCAAAATGTATCATCTTTACATGTGGTGAACAGATGAACTATTCGTTGTTGATTAGAAATGATCAATCTAAGTATTGGAGAGTACAGCAAACATCTATATCAATACCCATTTTTCTGATGAACTGACCAGTACTTCCATATTGCATTATTTAGCCTATAAAAAATTTCCATAACTGACCTTTTAAATACAGAAAAAGCCATTTAAGTTATCTTTTTTTGAATATGCAAATGTATATTTAAATGTCTGTTTTTGAACGATTTTGAATGTTAAAGATAGATTTTCTCATAGAATGCCTCTCATAAGTAATGTGACAAAATAAATGAAAATGTTAATTACAATTAAAATAGTTTTTAGGTTGGAAACGTCTTTTGAAGACAAAAGCTTATTTTAAAAGAACCAACTCTGTTAACTTTAATAGTATATCTGCTATCTCCAGCATGGTTAACACTGGCTGACTAAAACATTTGTAATTGTATTTCAGTGTATTTCATACATGAGAATTAAGATATCTTACTGTAATAAGATTACATATATATTTTTTTCCAATTAAATATAATTCAAATACTAAATCTGTTGTATCAGAAGAAAGTGTCAGATACATACTAGTTGAAAAGTGATTACTTGGAAATTATAGTATTTCAGAGCAATAGTTTAGAAGTATGGTATTATTTTCATTGACATGTGTCTCTATTATTTAATTAAATAACTTTGTAGATGTGGTCATCAATGGAATAGGTTACCACCATGCAGGACTAGATTTTTCAGATAGAAAATACATGGAGGAGCTTTTTGAGAGTGGAAAACTTCCAGTTTTAAGTAAGAAGTTTTAGCACATTAATTTTATTAAGATCTATATAAATTTGCTGAAAGTATGTTTTATTTTTGCTTGAGGTGTCTTAAATATTAAAACTTTTTATCATTAATCAGAAACACATCAAATAGGTATACATTCATTTATCAGTGAAAGTTGTTGTATCAGTTTCACAGAGGATTATTTTCTTTAACTATATGTAGTTTGTGTATTGCCTGGTAAGTGTATGATGATTTTTGTTAAAACTTGTTTTTTTTTTTTATAAATGTTGGTATGTGTCTGGTATAAGTATTGCAGTTGCTACATGGCAAATAAATGATAGACTATGTTTATAAATTTTGATAAATGCTAGTATGTATGTGTATGTATGTATGTAATTGTACAGAATTATTGAATGCTGAGAGATAACTGCTTTGGTAGTTTGAGTTGATAAAAAGTGCCTAACTAGCAATAGTGTGTTTTAGCTCAGTTGGTAGAGCACTTGCCTGGTTCAATCCTGCTTGTAGAAGATGCATAAGTTACATTACTACTTCCCAAACAAGGTCTGTGTTTGGGTCTTTTCTCAGGGTTGTGGGATAACAACTAGTTGGGTGCCAATTTTCTTATAGTAATTCAGTTTTTGTTTTTCCTGCAAACAGGATTGAACTCGGGACCTGTAGCATGCTAGACACACACTACCAAATGAACTAAAGGGTTAATCTACTAGCTATTGCTAGTAAGGGTACTTTTTAACAACTCCTATCAATACATTGCTAAAATTAATTGGCTAGTTTATTATCTTATTTTTGTTGGCAGATTGTTCAGTCTGCTTTTTACACTGGTTTTTGTGTTGTAATAAACCTCAGTTAATAGAACTGTTTTCCTCTGTTATGATTGCATTTTCTGTGCATGTTGTAGTATCCACCAGCACTCTTGCTATGGGAGTAAACTTTCCTGCTCATCTTGTTGTGGTAAAGTCAACTACACAGTATGTGGCTGGCAGCTATGAAGAATATTCTGACACCCAAATCTTGCAGATGATTGGTCGAGCTGGCAGACCTCAGGTTAGGAACGGCTTTATGACTTTTTAACATACATACACATTTTTAGTCTTTTTATGATATTTAAAATAACAGTGCTCAATTTTAATGATCATCAGGTCATCCAAGACAACTAAAAATTTCCTCAGATGACCAACTTAAACCCCCATGTTGTCTGACGGATGACTAGCTCCCTGGAACAGACCCTTACTCAAAACAGTATCGCAGTCTACTGTACACTTCTCCCTGCCCACACCACACACGTAATGTTGACTCTAATCCAGGGGTAGCCAACCTTTTTTGTGCCACGGGCCAGATTTTGATTACCGGAGTCAACCCGGGCTGCATTCAACTTTAAAATACAGTGCTGGTAAAAAAACTGGCCACCCTGAGCTTGGTATTTTTCAATGCTCTGATACAGTTCTCATTTGGCTGTGGTCACAAAGAATCTTATATCAATAGATAGAAAACTTTCTTGGCTTTTATATGATGTACTTTACTTTTGATATTGCACCATTAGGTGTTCTCTAGAGACCAGAAACAAAAAGTTCATCATTTTTTGTCAATCGAGTTATCTCTGGTGAAAAAGACGTTTGGATAATAATTTTTACATCAGTGAATAGAGAATGAAGGGACCTTTCATTTGACACTTTGATCAGCAAAATCAGTCCACATTCGGTCAAGGAATTAGAGTCTAATCCTTGACCAAAATCAGTGGTAAATTCCCTAACTATGAACTCAAACATTTTTGGCCCATTATTTTGTTTAAAAAAGGTTGTACTTTGTACAAGAGAAATCCATTAAAAGGGGCTGAAAAATGTTTGGAAAATTTTGCTTTTGTGATTGGCTAATAATGCTTTTTTAGTCACTAAACTTTCTGTTGTGGACAAGCTGCATGCCTATTCTGCCCTATGTATATCAATTTTCTGTGGAGTTCAACTGAACATGAATGGCAATTTGTGGTAACACAGTACAGTGTACACAGCTCAGTTAGTTATATTACAACATATTGTTGCATGATGTTTGTATGCATATATATGAGTGTGCAGGAATTCGCAACAAAAACAAACTCTGATAATACAAATACTTAGTGAGATTAATTTCTAGTTTAGATGCTTACAACAATAAAACTAACATAGCTGTGTCAACTTCTTACCAATAAAACTTCGGTAGGAACATTAAATGATCAAATTTACAAAATCAAAATCAGAATTTTCATCATTAATCCTCACAGTTGAAACTGTGATTATGCATGTATAGGCCTAAGGCTAACATTAGACAGACACGATCAATCAATTCTAGGAAATACGAAAGACCTAGCTACCATGAGAAAGGCGGGAAATTCCACGAATTAAACAGAGCATAATAATGATAACTGCAAACAAATGTTTATGAAAGTTTTAATCAGTATGAAACAGAATAACAATAAATAAAATAAGGCTAGCTTTGCCTCTCTCCAGGTCAATACAAACTAAGAGTGTAAATGACAATACATATCAGCAGTGTGTGTGTGTACATGTGCAGCACTCAGGCCTTGTGTACGCATTACGGTATATATATATGTGTGAGAGTTCCAAAGCAAGTCTAGTCTTAATACAGGCTTTACTTTACTGTACTTGGCAGGTAGGCCAAGCTGGTTAAAATGAAAACATTGAATGTGATTGGCCAAGATTGCTGTTCTATTTAAAAGTTTTACTGGTCATTGACTGTTTGTTTCCTTAAGATACTATGTAATGTTAGCATGGTTTAGATGTATTTTTTCAAATTTAATGAAACTTCTTGGGAAGTAAAGTGTCAAAAAATTAGTTAAACAAAGATGCAAAATTGCCAACTAAACATTAACTGTACTTTTTTGAAATAAGTAAGATATAAAAACATTAAAATTATTGTAATTGGGTCCTTTTAGGTCTTTGTACATCAATATTATTGTAATTGGATTTATTTTAGGGTCTATGTATTTTTTTTGGGGGGGAGGGACAATTAGTACAGCTTTCTAGACAACTTCTGATACAGGTCAGGTTGTCCAAATTACAGCCCTGAAATTTCTTTAAAATTGAGCCCTGAATATTATTAAAATAAATTATCTGATCTGAATTATTTATAAATACAACCAACTATTCCTTTATTTTCTGGTCATATTCTTTACACCCATGTACAATTCAGTTATTAATTTTTTAATATATAACTGTAGAGTTCTTGAGATTTTTATAGCCTCAAAAGTATGTTAGCAAACATATAAAAAAATGTGATATGGGTGAAGTATATGTTTTTCAATATAATATAGGATCTTTTGAATTCTTCTGATTATTTACAAATGAGACTTGTTTGCTACTTTCAGTTTGATGAATATGCCACAGCTGTGATTATGACTAAACAGTCACAGAAGGTAAGAGAATTATCTGGGATAAGTGAGATGTGTTGTATTTTATTTCTGCTTGCCAGTGCCATAATATTGTTGCATAACACATTGATATATTATATACATATATTAATTTACTGTTTGTTCATCTTTTGTACTTTAGACAGAAAATTGCTTAATATTAAACCGAAAAATAAGTTATCTTACAACAATATAAATATTTTTAACTGATCAATGTAATCATATTTTACTCTGAGTTTTAACTCCTACATTCATGTTACTAGTATTTCAATTCTGAATAAAAGAAGTAGCATCATATAGTTATTCATTTACATATTTATTCTAATTCCTAAAAAGTGAATTAACATACTAAAATTATTAGCTTAATGCATTTTCATTTGAAATAGTGCCCCTCAGTGAATCGATGGAAAGCTTGAGAACTTGTAATGTTAAAAGTCAGGGTTTCGTCCCCATGGTGGGCACAGCACAGATAATCCATTATGCAGTTTTGTGCTAAACAACAAACATAATATACAATTTAAAGTGTTTAGTAGGTTGTATATAGTTTTTATTAAAATTAAAGGCCAAAGAATGTTTTATTTCACTGCACTGAATTTAAAAAACTTATAGATAGCACTATTCACTGATTAAGAAGTATTTATTGAGTTACCTGCCCTAACCCTAGATAAGCTTGATGTTTTCTGTTTTTTGGAGGGTCTATTTGCTTTTAGCCTTTATGATTTTGTCTATCTCATTAATATTTTTGGCCCATTCTATTACACATAGAAAGAAGTTTAATGCTGTCACCTATTGTTGCTTTAAGGTCAGGCTTGCTTCTCTCCTGTTGGTTTATTTTATTTACTTGTCTTGGACAACCTTTTGGTTCCTGATTGTCTTTTGTATCCAGTGAGAATAGAAAGTTGTAAACTGTTTATATGAAATACATTTGTTCCTACAGCTCTTGGTAATTCACCATTTATCTGATCTATTTGTTACAAAATAGATTAAATTGGATGGAAGTCTTTAACAAGTGTTGTTTTTAAGGAGATAAACAACTGTAAAACAGTTGTGCTGTAATTTTATTTGTGGCTGAATTTCTTGGTAAGACCCTTTTTTTTTAAGTCTCTTCTGTTGAGGATTTTTCTCTCTACACACACTATTGGTTGCTCAGTATATTCGTCACCAATTTGAATAAGGTGAGTTAATTTCCATTTCCTGGACAACCTTTACTTTAGCCTTCTACATATTTTCTTAGGATAAAATTAGTCTCCTGAAGAAAAAAACACCTTGTATCACTATTCATTCATTTGAAATCCAGATGTTTGCATATGTCTTTATTTTATGCCTAACCTTGGAAGTAGGGTCAGGAATTATTGCCCACTTTTACTTACAAATAACCAATATTTTGTGAATCCTTTATCACACCTTGGGGTGGGCTTTAGCATACTTTTACTCTGACATGTATCTTGAGAATCTCCACTTTAAGATCTAGTTTCATCTTCTATAATGTAATAACAGATTTAATATAAATATTGAAAGTGCAATCTTTTTAGATTGCTTTTTGTTGTCGTGAGACATACAAAATGTTGTGTTTGAGATCAGATGTTTTCTCAACATTAAGTATTAGATAGCAGTGTTGTCCCTTAACTTGCATGTCTTCACTTTGGAGGTCAATTTTCAACAACCATTCTTCTCTCCAGTTCCACAGAACATCCAGGTGCTTTCTATAACCCCATCTCTACTTTAGTGAGAGAAGTTTAACTGAGAGTTAGAGTAGAGGAAAAGTATCTTATTTGAAATTAAATATTTAGCATTTAAATGTATTTCAATAAAATACTTATCTATGCTATAATATTGTCACCTTCCTTCTTACACTATTGGATTTTGAAAGAAAAATATTACCAAATGAAATTTGATGGTTCTTGATAGAAGTAGAACTATATTTGATGGTGATTGGTTTAGAGATTGAAGTAGAACTATGTTTGATGGTGATTGGTTTAGAGATTCTACTAGTAAATGTTGTTATACATATAATCAAGACCTGAATGAGATAACAAAAATCTGTAATTAATAGTTTTATTTTAAGTTTACTTACTGATTAAGTATTTTATTATAAATGACACCAGAAATATTGAACATCCCAAAAGACAAGAACAACTTAATGAGTAATTTTTTTACCAACACAAAAGCAGGTACATTAACAAACTTCTGAGATCAATTTAGGGAAAAAATTTCAGAAATATTAAACAAAAAAAAGAAGCCTATAAAACAAAATTTGACATCAGCAGAAAGAAAAGGCCTAAAACTTCACAGGAACAATGAAGACTATCATTCAAAGAGCTGATAAAGGAAACTTAAGCATGATTTTTACTAATGAAACTTTATGATTACTTGGTAAATACTTTAACTGGATTTTGGATCCTTATGTTTCCAAAATAAGCACCCACCCAATTAAAAACATTTCATACCTTCTACAACACTTACATAGACAGTAACATCATTATGTCTAGCTTTGATGTTGTAAACCTATTCCCTCAAAACCCTTGTCATGAGGTAAAACTTACTACAGAAATTATTTCACAAGACCTCAAAAAGAGAACACCTAATTGACTCTTACTATTACAACTAGCCACAGACTTGGTATGGGAGATCCATTATCAGGTACTTTGGCCACTCTTTTCTTACATCACATAGTGCTACAGTCACTTCCATATATATAATCCTGTATTTTGGCTTAGATATGTAGATGATGTTTCTTGTAGCTTTACTTGTCAAGATTTACAAACAAAATTCCTTCAACACATAAACAACTTACATAAAGACATACAATTCACAGTGGAAAATAAAAACAACTACACAATAAGTCTTCACCACTAAATTTAATATAAAATCACATACACCAGAACTTACATAAACTGGTTTTCTAAATCATGTAATACACCAGAAGCTAGGCACTGTAAAAAGCCTCCTAAATTTGGAATATACTATATGCACCACAGAAAACATTGATAAAGAAGTTGTGCACTTAACTCAATGCTTTGCTAACATAAAACAGTTCCCTACTAAAGTAGTTACAGAAACTATCAATGAATTTAAAAAACACAGGCAAGAGACACTTAACAAACACACAAGCTCAAAAAATACTCCACAAAACAAAGGACTCTCTAGTCTTTCACTGCTAAATTAAGTATGGTTAGCGCACATAGCCCTCTTGTAGCTTTGCATGAAATTCAGATCAAACAAAACAAAGGTAATCTAATCATAGAAAATATTAGCATACCTTTACCAGAAATTTCAAAAAGACTAGCACATAAAATTAATCTTAACATAACACCTAGATTTATTTTCATCCCTAGAATGAAAATTAAACATATGTTAAGAAAATTATATAATGAACCCATCTCTCCAGGAAATATTTACGAAATAAAATATAACAATTGCTCAGCCTTTTATGTAGGTAAAAAAGGATGTAGCATGGATATCAGATAAAAGAACACTAAAAAAAACCCCTTCCCAAGTTCATGAGTATATGAACAAAGACACAGTTTATCTGAACAGAATGTCACAGTACTAAAACATGAACCTGACATTAACAAAAGAAAATCAGTGAAGCCTTATTAATAAAATCAAACAATCCCCCAATTAACAAATACCTAGGCACATCTCTATGTGTCTTTGACTGTTATTTCCTCAGACATTTCTAATCTTATGCAAACATTTTGCACAACATATTCTGTATTTTTATATTTATTCACTTTTTGTTTGTTTTTCTGTTTAGCTATAAATAAATAATCTGTCAATTCATGCAGATTGATATGAACATGTATAAGCAATCACTAAATTCTAAAATTTCAGTACATTGTTAGATTTTTGAATGTTGATTTAAATACTAAAACCATTTTTACCATTAAAACTTGTGTGCTTGAGAATGATTGCACCAGTGATTGAAATGTTGTACCTGTTCTAAAAACAAATATTTCTTACTGTAAAAGCTGAAATTTGTAATAAAAAAAATTTAAATTTCTTAAACTAAAACCTGGAAAAGAACAATAAGCCTACTTATTGGCATGATCAAGAGAACTAGTTAGAAGCATTACATTTTTATGCTTAAATGTTGAATTTGAACTTTGTTCTAGCTGTAAAATTATTTTGTAAGACTGTAGTTTATAAAAAAATATTATTTTTTTATCCAAATGATAATCGTTGTCAGTCTGTTTTGTAGTTCCAGTCAAAACCTAAGATTATACAACCAACTGAAATCTTTCTAGCAAGCTTATAATGCAAAATAATAGTATTAGGTTAAGAAAAAATGATTTTATTCAAACTTTTGGTGGTTTAAGAATGTTTAATTTTTTTTCATACATAGTTTTAAATAAATGAGTTTGTTTTTTATCACTAGCACTAATTCTAAAACTTTGTATATTTATAAAGCCCAAATATCAGACCTTCTTGAATGGAATGCAAGTTGTTGAAAGCAGGTTAGTGTGAAATGTTGTGAACAAAATGTTTTTAATTACATTTTTCTTCATGATTATAATGATAAGCCTTTGATTCTCTTTTTTGTTATTATTTTAAGAAACTTTCTTATCATTTATTTATTCTAATGCTAACAGTATAATTAAGCTAATGTTTTTATTTTCAAAGCTGAATTGTTTTGGGCTGATTTGTGTTAGTACCCTTTTCAGTTAGATTTCCAGTAGTGTTCTTGAAATCCCATTGATATCTGAATTTAATAGGGATAGCTACATGGTGATAAAAATGTTGTAAAACTATATTAAACCTTAATATAATATTAATTATTAGATTATTTATCTTGACTAGCTAACACGTTTTTCATTTCAACATTTTATAATTCGTTTTTTGTGATGATTTTGTAGAAGGTATTTTACAATACTTTATTTGAATTTTGTAGCCTCCATAAGCACGTAGTGGAACACTTAAATGCAGAGATTGTGTTGCGTACTATCACTGATGTGTCCATAGCTGTGGAATGGCTCAAATCAACATTCTTGTACATCAGAGTGTTAAAAAATCCAAAGCATTATGGGAAGTACAAAATGATGTTTCTAACATTAAAGAATACTCATATGAATAGAAAATAATATTCAGTTATTAATCATCAGAAAATTTTGATAAGGATGTTATTAAACAGACTGACTTCAATTAATCATAGTTTGACTTTTATCAACAAAAAATTATATCCTTCTTTACATGGATTTGTTAATTGTCTGTGCTGTCTAATTATTGTAGGAATTAATACTGGCTTGTCTAAAGAAGAAATAGAAAAGAAGCTACAAGGTATGGATTAAAATGTAATGTCTTTGTTATAAAATTTTGACATAAAATATAATTTACTAGGCCAATAAATTTGATCTGATAATGTTATACACAAGTCACTTTGTTAAAGAAATATTTAGAATGAAATGTTTTTTATATTATCTGAGTATAATTAATTTTGATGAAGAAAATATCCTTTAGTTTGAAATCTAAAGAGAATTAATACAAATATATTTATAGAGGAAAGCTAAACATGAATGTGATAGGTTGGAAGAGATTCAGTTCGTGCTTGTTGTACAGAATCTACCAGTTTCACACCTTACACTTAATAAAATTTGACAGTTTGCCCTTTTGCTTAACATCTCAGGAAGAAAGGAATTAAACATTAATCTTTAAAAGTTAGTTGTGTGACATCCTTGTGTTAATTTTGTACTATTCATGTATATATGTTTATGAGAACTGAAAAAAGAGGTTGGATAGGTGATTAACAAAGATACAATAGATCAGGATGTACTTCAGTTTCTTCAAATCAGATATCAGATGTCAACACCTTTTTTTAAAGTTTGTATCATATATATATCTGTATTATCAACTGGCCAGTTTCTTTGGGTATCTTAATATTGTTGAAGCACTCTTGAGTTTTGGAACAAAAACTGCATAAAAAGGTTAAAAGAAATTTTTTGTATAACTTTTCCATATGTCTGTTTCAAAGGTGTAGAAAAGGATGATTGTGAATAAAAAGTTACAAATACAGACGTAATATGCATATTTGTGGGTGGAAATCTTTGGAAATATAATTACGTTGTTATACAAGAATTACTATATGTAGTTTAGAATACCAACAATTAAGATTACAACAGAATATTATATTCATACACATGAAAAGTCCAAATGTTTGACATCTTTTTTTTACCATATTTTTTGGAATATAAGATGCACCGGTGTATAAGACGCACTCTTATTTTGAAGACAAAGTTTTGGTGGAAAAAAAGCTACAGTCGCATTTTTATTGAACAAAAATTTAATTTGATACTT